TCGGCCGGCACCTAGCGAAGGCTCTCTTTTGGCAGATCAAGAAGGCCCTAGAAAAGTGAACGAAACGAGATACACGCTAACGACATACTTAGCTAGATGGAAGCTGCCGGTGGAACGCGAGCCCAATAAACCGCGCGGCCTGGATGTCTCGTTATAGTAAGTGCCAGTTTCTCAAGGGGGTACGAGATTGAAAGAGATTACCAAGACACTGTCATGGGAATATCGGAATAGGCGGATTCGTCAAGGACCTTGCAACGCATACACAGCGGAGCAGATGCCTGTTCCTTTATTTATTTGAAAAAAAAAAAGTGTTTGACGATTTCAATTGGGCAGAAAACAAAATAGAGATTAGCATAATGTAGCTATCTGTCGATGCAGTGATGTGGCCGTATGATTAAACCTTATTCAGCAAATCGATGTTACTACTTTCGCACTTAACCTAGTTCAGGTTAAGGGGGCAACGGCGATGCTTATTGCGAGACTTCGCGGGGGTCCGACTTGTGTTAAGGACAACAGTATGCTTAGTAACGACTAACCATGACAATAAGGACAGCTGTCAACGACAGCAGATATATCGTTAGAGTCAATAAAATCAGAGCTTGGTCAAAACAGATCCACTCTATAAACTCGTGTGGTTTTCCTTTTCGATAAGTAAGCACCCATGTATGAAATTGATTTGATCATCCTTTTATTTGTCACATTAAATATAGGTCACTATTAGTTTGCTTGATTAAGTATACGTCAGTTGCCAGCTCTTCAAGCGGAAGGTTGACACCTTCAAATCATCCTTTTCTTCACTTCCATCGTCTTTCCCTCTATCGATTCGTACGCGACGTCGTTTTATTTACACGTGTATTTCATTGGTCCCGGGAAAAGACGTGCCTGATGCTCACACATCTCACGCTGCTGGCAGTAGCGGTAGTCAAGTGCGGCTTCGAAGTGGCGGCGATAAAGGGTGTGGATCTTAATAGTACATTTTTCGTTGCCTATGTGGATAAGCAATTATTTTCCATATGGCACCCTTGAATAGTTTCGTTCTGTTAAAATTTGCTTGCACGCTAATTCAAGACAGATTTACATGTTTGTACTGTGCCATGCCATGACACCTTTCTGTGATATCAGGGGGCGCTGAAACTGACCGCCGTCCGCTTCAGGGAATCGGGAGTTTTTCATTGCTTTTACGATGGCTAGAGAAACAGCGGCCACATCGCCTAGATCTCTGAGCAGCTCAGGTTTACAAAATTATTTTCCTCGATGCAGTTCCTTCAAGAATACCTCTATGGGGATATAGCGTTTGAGAAACTGAATAATCAACAAACGAACATGTTTATTAGCATACAAATGCACGTGCCCTTTTACATTTAAGGCGTTCTATTACTCAGGGTTATTTTCCAGGAAAGGCTATTCGACTATAAGAGTCGTAAAGACGACCTACCGGCCTGAGTAAAGGTTTAGGAGGCAAATGCCTTTGACAAAAAGTGACGGCTACGTTCGTCTTCTGTGGATACGAAGCTTCACTGGCGTACTCAATACATAATCTATACTTCGTCGCGGTATCATACATAATAGGCTGTTTCTCTTCAACAATCCGATCCCTGCAGATTGCACATAACTAAGGAAGGGCGCAGAGACCTGGAACAAAACCTCTGGCCGAAAGGTAAAGCCGAAAGCTCAAACAGCAGCGAAAAATGACGGAGGCGTGTTGCAAGACCGCCGTGACTACAAGTAACTGAATGATAGGACAAAACAGCTTACGTCTCTTGTTTCTCAGCATAATGTGTCCTGTTGCAAAACTGTGGCCTTCGTACTCGACACGTCCTGCCGACTGCGGCTATTTCCAACAGTTCCATTCTTGAGTGAGAGCAGGCGTGTAGGACCATAGAGTAATAACACGAAACGATAAATGGTTATTGTGGTCCTAAAGATAAGGACGTAAATTGAAAGAATAAGCAAGCGTTCGTGATGAATTCCTCGTTCCGCTGGGGTTGGGGTTTGTCGCCACCGTTCGACCCGCGCAGACTACCGGAGGCGACGAGTGACGCGTCGATGACCACAGGCCTACCAGACGTGTGTTTACGGACACGAGCCTAGCATCAAGATAAAAAAAAAATTGATTAACTCGACCAGCAGAAATAACATCAGTGACAACAATAGCAGCGGCATTGATCACTTAAGTGGCAAATTGGTCGAGTTTGCTTAATCAATTGGCTCCGCTTAGGCCGGCGAGAGATAAATTCCGGTGTTGGAGTTGGTGGAGGAAGGAGGTCTATGGGCAACTGTACGATCATACGCTCAGGATATTACCAGCTTGTAACTATTCGTATTACTCATTGAGTGAATTAACGATGGTCGCTTCAACGTCTCTAGTAGTTGTACGTGTCTGCGTCTGTCTAACGATGATCGCGACAACGTCGCTGCCAGTGATATTAGCAGGCGGTGGGCGATTACTGCTTTCTAATGACCCACTGGTAATCGTCATAAACGTGCTAGTAATTGGGGTGATATTTTGGCAGTGTTTTTCTTTCGACTAATGATTGTTATTGAGCATCAAGTGACAACATGAAGACGGAGCTTTGAACTAAAAACTAGATCAGTTATCATAAACGCTGGTTTATTATTAACGCTAAGGACAATGAGTGAGTATGCTGTGTTTGATCAAGCGAGGATGTACATGCTAGGCACGAGTTCTTCAAGTGTTGAGAATGCCTCATGAGTTCGCTTTTACGCTGAAATGATACGAACGGAAGGCCTATGGCAATCATTACGCACTGCAACTAATCCTAGTTGGATGATGTATACTGTGAAACGTACTATTTTTCAGTCATGTCGTCATGTACCGACGACGGGGATCGTTCTCTGGTATGTCTACCTCTTTCAATGAATTTCGCTGAGTTTCTGCATACCCCGCGCTTCTGTAAAGCAGAAGCTCCTGTTTTCAAAAACTGCTTTCATCCCTGTTTACTGACGCTTGGTTGTCGGTAATGAGCTTAAACGCCGGAATAGTACATGCTCTATACTAAAAAATTGCCCCGCTTTGGGAGCACTGTTCTTGGGATTGGGTTACACGCCCAGTTCAACTTCTTCCCCCTTTGAGAGGCCAGAGTTACGTCTGTGGCATTTAGAGTTGTGATGATCGCGTTGTTTTTTTTTTTTTTTTTTTTTATCATTGTGGTTACTATGTTTCTATTTTTAATTGTTGCTGTTAATCCTATTCGTCGCTGCTGCTTATGGTAGTGACGATGGTGCCCTTGTACCACGCAGCCGATTTAATCTTGCCCTCGTGTCAACGTTGTTATCGTCGACGGTGGTCGTTCTTATGGTAGATCATCATCTTTCTTAGTTTTTCTTTTTTTTTGGTGTACTGTGCCTATCTTTCTGCATTCCGCCACTGTGTGTGACGGTGGTGTTTCTGTTGTTGCTGCTGTTGAATCCCCCTCCGCCCTCTTCTTTCTTTGCCCATCCAGAGCATCCCTTAGCTCTGCTTCTTCCTGGTGATCATTGTTTTTGTCCAGTAGCAGCTAAATAATTGTTTTGATATTAATAAATACAAGTAAGTATTTTAAATGGGCGCTGATGCTGGTGGTAGCGGCGATTTCGGGCACAGCATTAATGGCAGCGGGTTAGGCGTTAGCCCCTGACGACGACGAAAACTACTGCACACCGAGGGACGAAGACGGGACCCGTACAGCGAACAGCCGAAGCTGAAAGCACGTATCGAGTGAAGAAACAACGGTGAGGAGCGAAGTACATGAAAAATGATATGCAGAAAACAGGATGAGTGGAGGCGAAGTAGATGTATCCAAGTTTGTTAGAGAGCCGCTGGCGACTGCGGTTGCCGCTCTGCGCTTCCGTACGACAATAGCTTCTCTACCTGTCGGTTGATACCTTGCGCGTTCCGCTCAACCGGTCAAAGGCTGCTGGGAGCCGGCGTCCAGCGCCTGTACGGACGCCGTCCTTTGGTGCTGGTCAGCTGGTCCTTTCAGCGCAGTTCGTCAGTCATTGTCATGACAGCAATAGCAACAATGTTATCATAATAGCAGGTCCTGTCGTTTGTGTTTGTTGTTATCTTTTCTCGCCAATTAATGTGAGAAGATCGCTGTGCAGCGCGTGTTCAGTCATTACTTACGAGCAGAGAGTAGTAGTGAGATCGCCTAACAGAATAGCAGGTACAAACATACAAAGTAAGACTTTGTAGTGTCTTTCTATATATGGCGCTGGAGGCAAAATGGCATATCATCATTATGGTTGGTGGATCACGGCAGTACACGGCGGGCAAAAATATTTCATTTCAAGATGTGTGCGACGCATGGATGCCTCATCTCGCTAGCTAACGCTACGAAAGGCCGCTGCTTTGAGCGCTTAGTTCAGAAACTAGGATCAACTACGGGGAAAAGGAAAGAACCAACTACGTGGGCCAGCAACCACCAATTAATAACATTAAAGGTGGTGCGGAACACCCTGTGTGTTCAGTCTCTTTCACCTTCACTACAACAACGACAACAATAACAACAGCAAGAACAACACGAACGAAGGGGAGAACAAATCTCAACACAACCTTTGTAATCACAGAACTAACAACTAGGTTATCACGCTCAGACGAAAGAGGCCACCTTGACTCGCGCGGAGTATCTTAGTAATATAAAACACTACGTGACACTTCACGAGGGGCAACTTTGCACAACATTAAAGCGGAACTGCATTAAGTATCATAAACCAAACACACACTGCTGTTTCCAGGCTTGCCATATGTAGATCAATGTCAAATTGAAAATAATACCTTTAAACGCGCGTCTAGCGGCCCAAAGGGGCATAGGGAATTATCAATATGATCTGCTACGATGTACGTTTCTCTAATGAGAAGTTGTGCGTCTGTTATGTTAGAACAACATATGGGTACGATGTACCTTTGTAAAAAATATAGGATGGGAATTAACGATGTACATATGCTTGCAGGAAGTGACGTCAAAGGATAACCACTGTGTGTTTGTATACTATTTCAGGAGACCGGTTCAATTAGACCAGGAGTAATAGGCGGTTCGAAACCTCGTGTCGCTACACCTGACGTAGAGCGACGAATCGAAGATTATCGAAGAGAAAATCCCCGAATCTTCTCTTGGGAGATCAAAGATCGCTTGCTTAAAGAGGGCATTTGCGATTCGAATACGGCACCGTCTACCAGTTCAATATCTCGACTTCTTCGTGGAAACGGTAGCGATCAGCCAGGAAGTGGCGGTGCTTACGAGCATGGTACATCTGAAGCCGGGAGCGATGATGATAAAAAAATGTTCGAGCTCGGCCTAAACCAGGACATTATGAATAATCACAGTCCAGCCAGTTTGGGAATCAGTCCACTGTCGAGTAGTCCTTTAACCTTCGGCCCGAGTACTAGCCCTGTTCAGTCTCAGACGAACATTGCCTGCGGAAATACTACAAAACAACATAAACACACTATCGACGGAATCCTCGCGCCAGATTCGCGCATCAAAGATGACTGTAAGTGTATTCAGCTTTTCTTTGCATCTTCCTTTTCCCTGTTTTCGTAGATAGCAGCACGCACATTGTACAACAACCTATGGGCCGTATGAAACGATAGTAGGTTGAAAAAGGAGTATTCATCATTGTTTGCAGAAAGACAAAAATACGAGTTAAGGATGTGTTAGGATAGAAGCTCTATGAAAAGGCTTGTCTAACCTTGTATATGACAACATTTCCTAAAAAAAAAAAAAAAAAAAAAAAAAATATTTAACCTATATTGGCCTCTTTTTTTTCACCCAAATCACCTACCAGGCCATTTTTTGGTTATGGTGCACGCCATCTTTTCTGTTTTGAAGCGCCCGTTTTAAGAAGAATGTTTTATACGTGCCAGCCTGTAACAGCTGCGTGATAATAATAATAATAGCTGAGAATAGAAAAAAGAATCGCATCGTGATTAGCCAGGTAAACCGTTTAGAAACGGTGCGAAGTTTGACGGATTTCAGAGAGCTATTTTCCGTACAGAACATTGCTAGCAACAAAATGCGTTCATATTTGAAGTAGATATTGACTCATATTAGTCCTGTTAATTGATAACAATATTAATAAAATTGTTGATAACAATTTATTGCGACAACCAAAGGACTGCATCCGTCTTTCTAATAAATCGTCTATAGAACGGAAAAATCACATTGTGGCACTAATGAAAACTGCAACAGCGTGATCAATACCGCCAATCGAACAACCGACAAACTGTACCCCGGTGACAAAAACAGCTGAAAATGGTATATTATTAGTTACATTCTAACGAGCGCCCCCCTGACCAAGTGACCTATGGCGATTGTTTGAGATTTGCTTGAGTTCTCCTTGATTTGACAGCGTTGAAACATAGACGTTGGCCTGATTGTTCATGTGCCGCGTAGACATAGATCCCCTGCGTTTTTTTGTGCCGACAGCACACCCATTCGTTGTACAATCGCTGTTCAGGTCTGAACGAGTCACTATTGCTACTATGACGGTGATCGATCTTTCTACTCAGCTTCGCAGCATTCGGCTTTCAGAGACAGAGAGACAGACGGTAGTAGATGCAGGCCTGACATGCACCGCTCGTATGACGAACAAATTGGAAGTGTTTAATACATAGTTGGTAATGTGACTGCAAGTTTCAATCAACGCTTTTCGTTGACGTGTACAAGGTAACGCCTCGGTGTTTTGAGTTTTGCGTCCGGTATCGCCGTTAGGCGTCCCATCAGACAGACGGCTAGCTCGCGGCACGGGACGAACCGTCTATGTCCAGGTCTGAACTTACCTATGTATGTATATACCCATATAGGTCTTATATACATATATATGGACGAAGTCTATATGTACAATAGTGTGTTTAAGTTTGACATGGTCTCTTCTCTGTTACTGTTTGTACATGTGGTGCTGCTTTGTCGTTCGTTCACAGCACACGCGGAAACGATGCTGGCTCAGTAATGATGTACCTACCTGTATTTGTCAGTAAAACCGCTCGCCTCGAAAGCGGTCCAATGGCCATCTAGATAAAACGTTTTTTCTCATATAAATTAAAAGAAGACGAACGAAATAGAAAGAAGTGTCATTATTCGTTGTGACCCGATATTGACGTAATACGTGAGTGTCCATATACGTCTGTTAGACGAACGGCCATTTCATGCGTCGACCACGTAATGGTGTGTTGCGTCCCGCAACGAAAGTTCTCAATTTCGAAGTAAACAGAAGGACCAACAATAAGCAAATGTGTTGCAGTCGTACCTGTGGCATACAAAATCCATTGAAATATCGAAGAAGAGAAGGTAAAATGTGCCACTCCTTGTTCAGTTCGAAACTAGACAGTTGAGATGGATTTATGCCGATTGCTGCGTCAACGAATCGGACCTGCAAGATAAATAGTGCAGGTGGCCGTACATGGACCCATCGATTGTCTCCAATATGCGTCGTCCATATTTCACTTTGTTGCTTCGTATGACTGTATTCTTTGTCCCTTATTTTTCCATCGTGTTCCTTGGGGCCTAATTGAAATAGTTACTCCTGTTTCTCTACTATTTTTTTCTAGACGTACATTACATCTGTGTGATATGTGCCGGCTGGGCCACTATTCGCACTGTTATAAGGAGCTGTCCTGGTCGGTGTAGCGTCATCGTTTGTCCGCATTTACCGTTAATGGATACTCGCGGTATAGCTTAGATAATTAAGTCGTGCCAAGGCGTCGGAGGCGACAGAGTGGTATCGACAAGCAGCGTGAATGCGATCTGTTCCCGCGGTGCCTGATAGGGTAGGGCCCTGACGGACATTCATATCGGTACATTTGGTGAATCGTAATAACCTGTTTTGTGTATCCCGGGGATAGTAATAGCGACTCGAGCACTTTACAAATTCAAGATTTCAATGAGAAATGAAGATGGCATACGACACAACACAAGTTCAAGGAGTGTTACGGAATTAACATACGTTTAATTTGTAAAATTCAATTGTTTACTAGCTATGGCTATTTATAGTAACAATAACGTATACAAATGTTAAAGACATTTTTTTTTTTCTAAATTTTTGCATACTTAATTGATGTACGCGCAACGTTACGTAGGACTTGTTGCTATTCTCACAAGTTACATATGTGAAATTTGTATCTTACACAAGGTCAGATAAGCAGCAATCCGAAATAAACGACTGAAAGTTATATCTATATATTAAAAATCATCTATCGTGCTTGAATATAGATGGCGAAAAAAACACTAGTAGATACATAGAAATTCTGTTATTTCATACAATAGATGGCGTACGAAGTCTTTTATTTATGTAATCAAGATAAACTAATTATCCCCGGTCCAGCGGATTCGTCGTCTTTGGCGAGATGTATATTTTATACTAATTACTAAACGGATAATTACGTTTTTACGGTAGCGCACACCGTTGCCCCTCTCACCCTTTCTATTAATATCTGTGTATGTTTGTAATCATCTTCAAGGTTAGTTTTCTACGAAATGTCTTCCCTTACCCGTCGCACGTATTGTTCGCGCCATAGAGTAAATAACCAGCGCGAAAATTAGCGAAGCAAATCAAGAGAGCAACGAAAGTCGCCCTTCGTACAGATTTCCTTCCAATGGAATTGAAGCTCCTTTCGTTTTTCCTTTCTGAAGCTTGAAATCTTCATCTTTGTTATGTCCGTATACACGTACGATATACTGGCTTTATCGTACGCTACTGTCCACGAAAGTCTGCGCGAGAGAAAATTACATTTGGCAGGGAAGATATGATGAACGCTGATGGAACGGCTGCCAGAAAAAGCAGTATTGAAGAATGAGCCACAGCTATGCTCTTTACCAATAGAAAATAAATGTATATTATGTCTATGCAATTATGGTACAGACACGTGTGTTACTCTTGCGAACAGAAGAAGAACTGAACATTGCTATCGCCGGCGAAAATTTGAATATTTATAAGGCCATAGAGCTTGTCTAGTCGTTTCGTCGGTCCCCTCTGAAAATGCTCACGTATCAAGTCTAGGCGTCGTGTCCTAGTCACTCACACAAGATTTTTCAGCAAAAATTTGCAACGATTGGATGGCAAAAATGCATAGAGGTCTATCTCTTTTTCCGGCAGCTATTCGCACCGAAAGACGTGGCGTTCGTTTTAGCTTCATGATTTTCTCGCTTACTTCTCCCTATACGTCTCGAAAATGTGACACCTCCTAATAGGGCTAAATGTATTGTTTCTTTTTGAGTAATATTAAAAGCTTTACAGTCATACCTGAGAATTGTAAAGAAGAAAAAAAAAAAAGCTATAAATTCCCTTGTCTGCTTTTCTATTGAACTTGAGATTAATTTAAACCATGGGAAAATTTAAGCGTTTGTTTTGTACATATTTTGCAATATGCATGCGTGAAGATGATCACTAGGCAAGACTAGGCTGTCTCTCGTTGTTTGCTTGTATGTATATGTTGCTATAACATGTACACTGTGCCTATGAGTGCTGAGAATGACCAGGCCAAAGTAACATGCAACGGCCAGTATAGAAGGCAACGATATGTTGTTGTAGTGATTTGTTGCAAAGTAGTTTTTGTTTTCAGCCGCGCTGTCATGGCGCCGCGACTTCCAAGGTCCGCTAACACCAGCGGCGTGTCGTGACTATGTATGGTCGGCCGATTTCGCCGCCGCCGCCGCCGCCGCCGCCGCTGAAGAAGGCCAATAAGGTCCATCTCTTCAATTCTTCAGCTCGATTTTCTTCTGTTTTATTGTTACCTGAAGCAACAGTCTCTGCTACACTAACGCACACGGACGTATTTTCAGCGGATACATCATTATAATGATGATTTTTTGGGTGGTGGTGGTGGTGGTGGTGGCAACGCTTAAAGCCCTTGAGGTGGTCTCATGTACGCTGGGACAGCCGTTCTTCCCAATGACGGAGCTTCTGTTGTTGTGGTCGTTCTTTTATAGTTGAACTTGTTGCTCTTTATATTGTTGTTGCTGCTGGCGTCGTAGTCATTCTCGAAATTGTGAGCCAGTGCTGCGCCGGACACCAGGACACGCCTTACGCCCGGCCGCAGCATCTAGCAACTACATATCGGGGAAAAAACTATATATATATCCCCATTGGCTCTTCGTGCTGTCAGTCGTGCCAGTCCTCCTACCGCCAGATGGAAGTAGTACAAAGCAAGTAATAAAGATTATAATATTTCTACTGATTATATTTTAATTATGCCGCCATACCATCGCCTACGTAGCAGTGCAATCAATCTCTGCTTGTCCGCTTTGCGTCAGTAGTAGCGAGGCCGTATTAAAACGTTGTGGACGTTGCTGTTGTTAAGGTTGCCAGTGGCTCGCAGGCCACCCACTGCTGGCGAAGGACCGCAAGGACCCCGGCCGAGTACTGGGCCGAGAACAACAAGGAGAAACGAAGGCGAGGCAGTGCAGTGCACAATTCAACGAAAGAGCTACAGGACATAATCGATGCCGCTGATCTAGAGCATATGAGTGTTCGCGCAGAATTGTCAATGCAGAGCT